CCAAGCCTGTATATACTGTCAGGTTATATATGAGTTAATATGAGTATCTATCCTATTCTTTCTAAAGGAATGGTAAACACATAATCTCAGCTACAGGGAATGATGGAACTGAAGCTGAGTGAAGGCAAATTCTGGTCTTACAGTTCTTCTCTGCCTTCATTATTCAAAATTACCATGTAACACAGACTAAAAACTGAAACATATTCCTTTGTTAAGCTCTTTTCTGTACTACGTAAATACTTCATTTTTGACATTATATGCTTTTGATATAAATTCAATTTTATTAATATAAATATTGTATATTCTACTCCCTTTTCTTTCTCTTTGTGTAAAGAATATTCATGCTGGGCGATGGTGACGCATGCCTTTAATCCCAGCACTCGGGAGGCAGAGGCAGGTGGATCTCTGTGAGTTCGAGACCAGCCTGGTCTACAAAGCTCGTTTCAGGACAGGCTCCAAAGCCACAGAGAAACCCTGTCTAGAAAAACCAAAAAAAAAATTCATTAACTGACTCCCTAATTTCAGAGCACATTTTAATTTTATTCATGAAGTCTTTCTCTTCTGATGAGCAAATAATTCCTTTTTATCTTTGTCTAGCTGTTACTACTTTGATTCCAGGTTTAATTCCAAATTACATCCACATTTATGTATGGGTAGGAATATATTTATGCTAATATTTTCCCATTGTTTTGAATATTTTCCTTAGATTGTTTCTATTGTTTTTGGATTGCTATTTTTATGTATGAAAACACTTTTAATTTTTCAAAAATAATTTGGTGAATATAACTCAAACCTATTTTCAGTTTGGTTAAATCACCTTTCTTTTTCTTTTGTTATTTTTTTTTTGAGGCAAGGTGTCTCTGTGTAGCTTTGGAACATGTCCTAGAACTCGCTCTATAGAGCAGGTTGACTTCGAACTTACAGCGATCCATCTGGCTATTTCTCTACCACCCAAGTGCAGGGATTAAAGGGTTGTATCACTACCACAAAGATCAAAAAGAAGCACAGAAACAACTAGTAGAAATCAGAAGAAAGATAGGGGAATGAAGAGTCAGAAGGGGCATCATTATTATTAATCTACAAAAAGCTGCTCTTTGGTACTGGGGAGTATGTCATGTATTTTGAAGAAACTACTTTATGACTAGGTGTTTTTTCTCAACTATCACTCAAGTTCACACCTCTGGAAAAACAGTTTGCTCAGGAATAGGCTGTGTCACTTTCTGATATTTCACAGCTATGTTTCTAAAAGACCCAAACATTTCCTGGCTCCAGGACAAGGGTACTAAAGATGGAATATGTTCTACTTTTCCTGCTTATAAAAAAAGCTATGCTCATAAAAAAATTTACCTTGATACCAAAACCACATAAAGATATTACTAAGAAAGAGAATTACAGACCAATCTCACTCATGAACATCAATGCAAAAATACTAAATAAAACACTGGCAAATCAAATTCAAGAACACATAAAAACCATCATACACCAAGATCAAGTCAGCTTCATTCCAGAGACACTGCGATGGTTCAACATATGAAAATCTGTCAATGTAATCCACTGTATAAACAAACTGAAAAATAAAAACCACATGATAATCTCATTAGTGCTGAAAAAGTTTTTGACACAATAAAACAACTCTGCATGATAAAGGTCTTGGAGAGAGCAGGAATACAAGGAACATACCTAAACATAATAAAGGCATTATTCAGCATGCAACAGCCAAGATCAAACTAAATGGAGAGAAACTCCCACTGAAATCTAGAACAAGACAAAGTTGTCCACTTTCTCCATATCTATTCATATGGTTCTTGAGGTCCTAGCTAGAGCAATAAGACACCAAAACAAGATCAGGGGGATACATCTTTTTTTTGTTTTTTAGAGACAGGGTTTCTTTGTAGCTTTGGTGCCTGTCCTGGAACTAGCTCTTGTAGACCAGGCTGGCCTCGAACTCAAAGAGATCCACCTGCCTCTGCCTCCCGAGTGCTGGGATTAAAGGCATGCACCACCACCGCCAGGCGATACAAATTGGAAAACAAGCCAAACTCTCACTGTTTGCTGATGATAAGATAGTTTACATAAGCCACCCCAGAAATTCTACCTAGGAACTTCTAGAACTCATAAATATATTCAGTAATGTAGCAGTATACAAGATTAACTCAAATTCCTGTACAAATATGACAAGTGGGTTGAAAAAGAAATCATAGAAACATCACCTTTCACAATGGCCACAAATAGCATAAAATATCTCGGAGTAACTCTAACCAAACTAATGGAAGACTTGTATGACAAGAACTTTAAATCTTTGAAGAACAAAAATGAAGAAGACACCAGAAAGTGGAAAGATTTCCCATGTTCTTGGCTAGGTAAAATTAGCATAGTGAAAATGTAGGCTTACCAAAAGCAATCTACAGATGCAATGAAATGCTTATGAAAATCCCAGAAAAATATTCTTCACAGCTTTCAAACTACTGTACTCAATTTCATATGGAAAGGCAGAAAACCCAGGATAGCCAAAACAATACTGTACAATAAAGGTCTTCTGGAGGCATCATAATCCCTAATTTCAAACCCTGGAAACAGCCTAGTATTGGCATAAAACAGACAGGAGGACCAATAGAACTAAATTAAAGACCCGGATACTAATCCATACTCCTTTGTAAACCAGATTTTTGACAAAGACACACAAAAAAATATCAAAAAATTGAAAAGAGAAAGCACATTTAACAAATAGCACTGGCGTAACTGGATATCAACATGTAGAAGAATGAAAATAGACCCATATCTATCACTATGCACAAAACTCAAGTCCAAATGGATCAAAGACCTCAACATAAAGCCAATCACACTGAACCTCACAGAAGAGAAAGTGGGAAGTACACTTGACTTCATTGGCACAGGAGACCACTTCCTAAATATAACCCCAGTAGCACAGACACTGAGAGAAACAAATAACAAATGTGAGCTCCTGAAACTGAAAAGATTCTGTAAAGCAAAGGACATGGTCAACAAGACAAAATGACAGCCTAAAGAATGGTAAAAGATCTTTACTAACACTACATCAGACAAAGGTCTGATCTCCAAAATATACAAAGAACTCAAAAAATTGGTCATCAAAAGAACAAATAATCCAATAAAAATGTTGAAGAGGAGGGGAGAGGCAGGGCGGGGAGCAAAGAAAAGTGTAATTCTCCATAAAAATCAATAAAAAATGGAGTACAAATGTAAACAGAGAATTCTCAAGAGAGGAATATAAAATGGTTGAAAGACACTTAAAGAAACACTGATGACAACTTATGCTGGAGAGGTTGTGGGGTAAATGGAACATTCCTGCATTGCTGGTGGGAATTCAAGCTAATACAGCCCTTTGGATGTCAGTGTGGTGATTTCTCAGAAAATTAGGAACAACTTTCCTCAAGACCCAGTAATACCACTTTTGAGTATATATCCAAAAGATAATCAATTGTGCCACAAGGACATGTGCTCAACTATATTTGTAGCAGCATTGTTTGTCATAGCCAGAACCTGGAAAAAATTCTAAATGCCCATTGACTAAAGAATGAAGAAGAAAAATGTGGTACATTTACACAATGGAGTACAACACAGCAGAAAAAAATAATAATGACATCTTGAATTTTGAGGGCTAATGGATGGAACTAAAAAACATTATTTTGAGTGAGGTAACACAGAAACAAATAATTATCACATGTATTCATTCATAAGTGATTTTCTCTTTTTTGGCAGTTGATCTATTGTTTTTTTTAATTTTTTTATTGAAAAAAATTTCCGCCTCCTCCCAGCCTCCCACTCCTCTCCCCTTCCCCAAACATAAAGCAAAGAAAATAAGTCCACAAATCATAATCCCAGAGAACCTAGACAACAATGAGGACCCTAAGAGAGATATCCATAGATCTAATCCACACAGGTAGTGGAAAAAGGCAAGATCTCCTGAGTAAATTGGAAGCATGGGGACCTTGGGTGAGGGTTGAAGGAGAGGGGAGAGGTAGGGAGAGGAGCAGAGAAAAATGTAATGCTCAATAAAAATTAAAGAAGCTGGATGACCAAAGCAAAAGCATAGGCTTGAGATGCATGACGTTTGAATATTTGTGTTATAAAGATGTACAAATTTTTCTTCATCTTAGCTTTTTTGCAGACTGAGATGCACATGCATACGGTGAGGCTGCTGCTTTAATCGAATGATGTCTCCAATTGGTCCTCAGTGGTGAAAAGTGACAATATCACTTGTAATACACAGCAGGGCCATATTATGAGTAGTAGTGTTTTCTCATATATTGTTCAAGTCATTCATCACAAATAAATCATCCATGCTGAGGAATTGCGGGACATAGGAGTAAAGAAAAGTGTTAAAATATGGAAGATTCCAAACTCAGACAAAGGTACAAGTAATGTACTCTGTGGGAATGAAAACTTCCATTTTCAGATGTAAGCAGAACTCCAAGTGACAAATGTAGTTGAGATCAAGGTTTTGTATGTGTATTCCTTATTTTGTACTTTAGTAAAAATGGTCAAGGCTGTTAAGTCTGTTTTTAATACATGAAAAAAATCCACATTTAAAATATCCTTAAATGTAATGAAATATCACAGGATACCTCGTCAATGAGGATACATACTTTTTTACCAATAAGAATTATTTCAATAATTTAAAGTAGTCCCTTTTCTTATGTATATTTCCTGATGGCAGGATACAGCCCACATTGTATCTTTGACATATAAAATTCAAAATTAATGCTATGATAGCATAAATTTTCAGGTAACATATAAAGTGCTATTTATATTTTTTTAAAATACATTCTCTGTATTTATATGTGTGGTCTGATCTCAAGCATCTGGGGAAACAGAAGTTGTGTTCAGTTACTGAGATAAGTAGTTCTTGCAGGTGTGCCCAGCCCTAACTGGTTCCCAGTGATTTGCATGCACACACTGCACAGCCTTAAGGACTTCTTCATATATCAGTCACATGCTGTGCAGTTGTCATTGAACTCAGGACTCAGCATGGACACGAAGGTCCCTGTTCAGCTCCTTGGGCTCCTGTTGCTCTGGTTTCCAGGTTAAAAAGGGGGACTAAAATTGGAATTTCACTGTTACAGAGTGACTATTGTTGACTGGCATTTGTGGGAGGTCCTCTATTGTCATGTTTAATCATGTGGATATTTATTATGTTTCCATTCCTAGGTGCCATATGTGACATCCAGATGACCCAGTCTCCATCTTCCCTGTCTGCATCTCTGGGAGACAGAGTCACTATCACTTGCAGGGCCAGTGAGGACATTTACAATAATTTAAACTGGTACCAGCAGAAACCGGGGAAATCTCCTAAACTCCTTATCTATTATACAAATAACTTGGCAGATGGGATCCCATCTAGATTCAGTGGCAGTGGGTCTGGGACAGATTATTCTCTCACCATCAGCAGCTTGGAGTCAGAAGACATTGCAACTTATTACTGTCAACAGGATTCTAAGTATCCTCTCACAGTGATACAAGTCATAACATAAACCTCCATGGAAGCAGAAGTGAGAGGATGGGATGTCTCAGCTGCTCCTCCTCATGAGACACTCACTGAAACTGTTTCTCAGAAGTCACATGATTTTTACAAAATCTCACACAGACATATTTATTTTTGTACAAAAGGCTAAACAGTCCTCTCTGAACCCTAAAAATCTTCCTTACTCTTGATCTCTAGCAATGCAGAGTATCAAAACGTTTTCTGCCTTAACAAAGAACAAAGAAATTTCCTGTGAGGATTTTTAGTTGTATCTCCTTTTACAAACACACTTTATTTAAATACAATGAATTAACTTCTAAGCACCAGCATTTAAATGACAGTAAAATATTATTTAGAAAAAAATGACAATAAAAAGAATTCCTGGTTTTGTCACATAAGCTAAAGCATGTGTGTCAGAGATAGGGCAAGTTTCATAACCATGGTCTTCTGTAGTACCTTGAAATTGCAGCTATGGGTTTTAATACTCACAACAGTCTGCAGCACTTCACTTAGAATTCTTCTTTCTCCTATGGCCACTGGTCTGCTTCCAAGTAGCAAAGAAAAACTGAACCACCCTCATATGACTTTCAGTCCCCCTGTGTGAAGTGCAATGTAGATTGGTTTATATAAAATCATAGACAGTAAAGGGCTACTTGAACATGCCGCAACTCGTTTTACTGAAGAAATGATATTCCGTAGCACCTTTTTAAAAACAAGACAAATAAACACCACAATAGTAATATACAATTCTGTTATTTTTTGAAACTGTGCTTGGGTATAATATATTTCTTGTGGTATTTTTGATGTCTCATTCATATATGTGTCTATCTGTTCTTGTAGAATATTCACAGACATAATTATAATTTTATACAAAAGAGAACAAGTCACAAGATATCATACCATATTTATGGGCTTAATATTTTTAAGTTTTGTTATCTTTAGATTTTCTCCTAAAATTCTGTACTCTATTAATCAAATTTCTAAACTACTTCAGGAATATTAGTTCTATTACATTGAATTTAGGTGAAAACTGGAAACAGTTTGTATTTAAGTGGTTCATGGAGCTGGAGAGAATGACCAGTGATTAAGAGCACCTGATGCTCTTGAATAGGACATGGATTTGATTCTCAGCACCCACATGCTGACTCACAGCCATCTTTGACATCATTTCTAGTGCATTCAGTACCCTCTTCTGGCTTCTGAGAGCACCAAACATGCACATTATGTTCTTGAAACCATGCAAGCAAAACACACATGTAAAAATATTTTATAAAAGTGGTTCATATAATAACATAAATAAAGTCTATATTCACTTTTATACCTGTTAACATTCAGGAGCAATAAATAGCACTACCCTTTGTGTATGTACAGATTGTATTGTAATTACTTCTAAATATTTACATTGACCTGTGTTTTTATGGATTTGTATACTAATCTTATCAGAAAATGTTTTACTTCATGTTTTCAACAATTCATTTTTTTTAAAAAAAGAATTTGAGTATCTGTGTTATTATTTTGGATACAAATGTTGAGAATAGACATTTTGTTATTTTGTGCAATCATTTTGTGTAGATAAAAATGGCCAATGTTCTTTCACTGATTATGACTATGATAATTATTGACAGTACTGATATTAAGGTATTTTTGTGACTATGTTTTGCTTCCATAGAAGTTTAATACTCTCTTGTAGGTCCACCATCTAGGTAGTTCACTGCTCAGAGGGAATCCACAGCAGTGATGAAACTAAGACTATTTCCATCTGAGTGGATTAGGGAAGAAACACTCACATATTTTCTTGATTATTATCTTCTTTATTTATCAATGTTGTCTGATGGACTGAGTAGACTGAAACATGAACAGCCATACAGCAGCACATTGATTGTTTCATAAAGTAGTTCCTCATACCGAGGTTTTTAACTTAATTTTGCATGTCTTAATGAATGGGATATTTACATGCCTCTATCACTCTTGTCCTACTATCTGTGTTGTTTGCAATACACAATAATACAAGAGTCCCACATGTGTCTGAGGAATGGTATCTTGTGACCATGGCTGGAAGATCTCCTCTGATAAACAAATCATTGTTCTCTACTAGTTTTCTCCAGGGTCAAAGTACTTCTAAGGAATATCTGTGTATTCTAAACTCTACCCTATACAGTGACTTTGCTCTAATTCCTACAGAGTAGAGGTATCATATTTTTCTTCTCCCTTATATGATTAAAAACAAAATCATCTTAATATACACATGTATATTATGTCTATGTAATTTATTGCAGATTAACAGGACAGAAGAAGACAAAAAGGATATTTCATAGCCAACTCTCTTGTTGGCAAGCCACCTACTGGGGCTAGCAAGAAGGATTCAATTATTCTACCATTTATCTTGAATATGAATCTTACAGGAAATCCTAAAGGAATCACTATCCAAAACTTTTGTTCATAAAAGGCAATGAGTGTGCTGTATTTTAGATCTTTAAAGTGGATATCCATCTATCATTAGTTTTGTATATCAGAAGAATTAAGAACAAGAATAGGTACAAGGACAAGTCTGTATCTTTTAATCTTTGAGAGAATTAAGGCCAGCTTGGCTTCTGAAGTATTCAATTTTTCTTTTTTAATCAAAAAACTGAGCTATGTGATTTAAAGTAGCATCTAAGGTGGAACTCAAAGGTCTTAGATGAAAAACATACATTTCTATATATTTTTATCAAAAGTCTGAATAAGCTAATTATATTATTTTCAATTAGAAGATACAGTTTAGGGAGAAATTCATCTTCATAACAACTAGTAGGTAAAAATGTGGAGAAAAACAAGGTGTATCCAATAAGATAAATACATTACAGTACAGATAGTGAGAAATTTTCCCATACCTTATTCAAAAATACCAGATATCAAAAAGAGATAGCAACAACAAGAACAGAAAAGTGTATCAAAGGCAAAAGGCATTCCATGATCTGTGGTCTCTGGGCCTTGCCTACATGAAAATTATCCACCAGGGTGTTGCCTTCTGGTGGGGAGACACTCTGACACTCGATCTTTACCTGCTGCCCCCTGACATTGCTATTGACAAAAGTTTATCATAAATAGCTATTTACTCAAATGATTTTAAGACACTATAGTGATAATTAAATAGATTTTTTTCTTAATTGTCAGAAAGATATACTATATAAAAAAATTTGTTGCAATGATCTTTGTCTTGTGAAAAATGTTAACTTGTTTATGATGCATTATGGCAGATGAAGACAAGGAGAAAAGGGTAGAGACTAAGAGAATGAGGAGAGAACAAGGAGGAAGAAACAGTACAATAAAAATTTACTTTGTTCCTTTCCTCTATATCCCTGTGTCACATTACACGTACTCGAAAACAATTTTGCTAGAAAAGACATTTTCAATAAAATATTTCTATGGTGCAGAGGTTTTAGTGCTGACATTAGCTCATTATAAATGCAGACATATTGTTTTTTTTTTTTTACTCTATGTACTCCCTCTGGTCCCTAACCATACCTGAATAAGAATTTCCTTCTTCCAAAGTTTCCATCTTAGTATTTGCTGTTTTAATCCCAAAGATATTTTTAAAAATTTGTGGTAGCCATCATAATAACTATGATGATTGTAATAGAAAGAAAGATGTTTTCAGACAATAGAACTGTTTATTTTTTTTTGCTTGTTTGCTTTTGAAAATACATTTTTCTTTTCATACCTTTCAATAAAAATAGATTTTTCTCAAATAATATAACATGATTATAGTTTCTTCTTCCTCTACTACTTCTAGTTTCTCCCTTCCTATTTTTCCATCAGGATAAACTCTATTTATACCTCTCAGTAGAAAACTAATAGGCTTTGGCGTCTTTCTGTAATATGACAGTGACCACAAAGTAGATCCAAGTAAATCAGTATGGTAGAAGGTTTCTGTCCTGCCAGTTACACAATAAACAAGCAAAAACTATATAATTTGTAATACTGTTTGGCCAATAGTTTAAACACTTTCTATATAGCTCTTATATCAAGAATCAACCCATTTCTATTAATCTATATATCACCATGTGGCTGTTGGTTACTAGTGATCTTCTGGCTCATTGGTTACATGGCATCTCCTGACTCTGCCTTCATTCACCCAGCATTCAGTTTAGTTTTCCCCATGTAGCTCTACCCTTCCCTATCACAGACCAATACAGTTTCTTTATTCATTAACCAATAAAAGCAACACATAAACAGAAGTACTTCCCACATCATTTCCCCTTTTCTGTTTAAATAAAAAGGAAGGCTTTAATATTAACATAGTAAAATTACATATAATACAACAGGTCTCAGCAAGAATTAAACTTACAATACTTATTTCTATTTTATCTTTCATCATAAATAAGGAAAACTATAATTACAACTATATATTCTTCAATTCCATCAATGACTCCAAAAGGATATAATATTACCTAAATAAACAGGAAGTATACTGTGAGCAACTTCTAAAATTCAAGAATTGACAAGACATCTCACTGCAGGGACAGTCACCCAGAGTTCTTCTGTACTGTTGGGACATCTGTATTCAGTCTACAGGCAGACATTTCCAGAAATCAGAAAATTTCAAAGACATTCTGACTATTTTGCCAGTTTGTCGGTCACTTTCTTCTGTATCCCATAGAATGTCTGGCAGACTCTTTAATGAAGCAAGTACCCTTAAGGACCATCTCGCCTTTAGGCACGGTTAGCAATCATCTAACTGTGGGTCCTGCATGTCCAGCTCACACAGCAAACATCAAGAAGTCCAGGCAAGAACAGTTTCTTGCCCAAATGTCTAACAAACTCCATAGGAAGCCTCTTCAATGCCCATCATCCTCTTGAAGTAGATGATGCTGCCAGGAACAGACATGTCTCATTGTCATAAAAAATACTAAATTCTTAAAATATTTAAAGGCCATATTCTGAAGGTCTCTGAAAGATTTGAAGAATACCTATCTAACTGAAATATGTCTTTATACATCTAGGAAATTTAACTAACATGACTATAATCTTGACTATTATAGATGGCGCTCTATTTGCCATTTCTTAATTATACATTACATTTTAAAATAAACTACACAAATACAATACCTTAAGACATATATATACAAAACTGACCTGGAATTTGTATCAATAAACCAAGATCCCTACCAATGGAGTCTTTACAGCATATCCCCCTTAAAATGTAAAGAAACATTTATAAACAATATTTGAGAATATGGACATAGTGCTCTCCAAACTGATTTCTGCTTTTTGTTGGATGAACTATTTTTGTGAGTGTTCATGATGATTTTTAGAGGGATCTTGGTATATCAAACCACATTTGTCGGGAATTAATTCACAGGTTTTCATCTTCTGTGAAAATAAAATCAGAACCTCTTTTTCCAAACAACAAATCCTTATATCCAAATTTTGGTATAAAGATACCTTTAAAACGTATAGTTTGGTTTAGGTTAGCCTCCCATACAAGTCTCTCTGTACTTAGCTCCTTTATAGTCAGAAAATTCAAAGAAGACACAATAATATGTACAATACAGACTCTCTGTGAATTTTCCATCTTTACATGGCTTATTATTTCTTACTCCTTTTATCTTTGATTGTCTGTACTCTGTCTCTTTAAAGCCTTTGTTCTATTTTTTATAAGCATTTACTTCTTTTTATAACTCCATATACTCTTTCTCTTCTCTCTCACAAGCCTATGTATATCTATCCAACACTGTGACCCAGTTAAAGGTGTTTTTGATCTGATTCTGTCTTAATTGTGTATGTGTAATCCCTTTCTGAGAAGGACCACTTCTTAAAATGCTAAAGAAGTTTGATTAGGACTTTGCATTTTGGCTCTGCCAAGTCCATCATGTCAGAGGCATGTTCACTGCCTCTACAAGCTGCACACACTGCCCAGTTCCAACTATGCAGTGGGTCTATGTCATGCCATTAAGCAGTTTGTAAAACTTTGTTCAAAAACCCATTTAAATGCTCAACTTCCTAAAAGAGCTAGAGTTCTTGCTGATAGCATGGCCCATTAATACTGCACATTTTTTTCTATTACTCAATCTGGAAAACTTTTCTTAAGAGAGTTTCAGCTGCCCACCAGTTAAAAGACACGATTCAGCTAAACTTTGTTTATGTATGTGAGTCTAGAGTTCCTTTCCAAACTTTCTTAGGTTTTATGTGGATATATTTGACCAAATTTGGGCACCAATTTGTCTTGCCAGAGGGCAACTGTAGTTCTTCTGAGTGAGGGACATCAGCATTAACACACAGCACTACTTCAGGTTCTGAAGTATTGCCCTCAGCAGGGGAGGCTGGGCCAGCAAAAGCAGGAAACTAGCTCATCACCACAACTCACAAGGCTTAGGGGTAAACATCATTAGAAACATTGTTGAAAACAATAGATTGTTCCTGTTTTTGTTTCTGTTTTCAACCAACCACAAGAGTGCAAAACAGATCAAGTGGAGGTACAAAGGCCTATTGTACCTTCTAGGAACCCAACAATTCCCCCCTTTTTATTTTTAAAAGCATGAGAGCCCCTGTTTTAGGACTCCCAGGGATAAAGGCTCTTACCCAAATATGGGAGGCCTTAATCCCTGTCTTAGGCGAGCTCTCTATACCAGGACAGTTGCCCATTGTAGGTATATCTCATGACTTCTGCAGCATCTGCAGCCAGACTTGGGGCACTTCCTGATTACCGGAAGACAGCCCTAGCAACACTTGTCAGGAGTGACAGTGTGCTGTACATGGTATTGCCACATAAAGCAGCAGAGAATCCAAAAACAGATAATCTCAATAGCAATATCAGCACAAGTGAGAGCATTCCAGGCAATCGCTGGAGCCAGCCTCCAAGCTGGGCCATGGCATTCCACTGACTGGATTCAGACACAGCAGGGACCCATGTGCTATTAATACTAACAATATGATGAGCTGTCTGCAGGGTAAAATTCAAAAAGGAGGAATTCCAAGGGCCATCCAAATATGCATTCAACTGTCCAACCACAACATCAGCAGGTGCAACACAGGCTGCACTACAAAAAGAACAAGACCTTTGTGGCAGGAGCCAAAGGAAATCCACCTACTCCTGCAAAAGCACAATTCATTGATCCAAATACAAATGCCCAAATCCAATATCAGAGTCCAGAGCATTCTGTGTCTGCAGGGCTTCTCTAACCTTTCCAGATTGCTGATCCACAGTCTCTGCAGTCACAGCCATCTGCAAAATGGCAAATCCAGCAACCATAGCTTCAGTGGCCATGACAGCGATAGCAGCAACAATTGCAGCTGTTATACCAAAGTCTTGCCCGCTGTCGATAAAGGATGTTCTCGTGATGTTCTTGAGACACCAGCACCGGCAGAGGAATCGCAGAAGGCACTCAAATGATCAAAGATCAATCATAACTGTCTCAGCAATTACTCAGCTTACAGATCCTGGAAGAACAATTAAGAATATTGTCCTCCAAAGTGCCATTCCACAATACAAAGAAAAATGGGGCAAGAACGCAAGCAGAGGATCAAATAGTCATATTGTATCCAGCTGTATAACAAATCAGGCTCTTGAGTAATACATTCTCCCCACATAACTGAGGGGTGGAGATTAATATCTCTATCAGCATCCTAACACCAAAGAGCAGGCTTGGGACCATAGATATATGTTATATTTACTTTCAAATCCTCTTTCAGAATGGGATGCAGTATAAGTATGAGTATGATTATTAGTTATGCAATACTAACTGGCATTCAAAGTGGAGTTTTTCTCAAAGGACTCCTATGATTCTCTTGTTACCAGAGTCATCACCTGAAGCAGAAGAAGCATCGCGATCTTCATTCTGAGTCGCCGGCCCTATGCACCATTCTGGCACCCAAATTGGTTTATCAACTCCAGGAGGAAAAACACATACAACCCCCTCACCTTTGACAACAAGGGGGTTGGTTTCATCCATCTTCCTGTTTGCAGATCTTTCCAATGAACCCATCCTAGGCTCTGAGCCCTAACTTGTGTATGACACTCCATAAGTGAGTGCCCTTCAGCATCCTCAGTCAAAAAATTTAAAATAAAGAGAATGGTGGATAATTGAGTTGCTGGGGAGAATATGAACTCCCCCCTCTTTATTTTTTGAAACTATTGCTCGAGGGTCTGATTGGCTCTTTCCACAATTATTTGACCCATTGGGTTATACGAGATGCCTGTTTAAGGGAAATTTTATAGAATGCACAAAGGATAATTTTTTGTTGATACATGCTGGACCATTATCTGTCTTAATAACCTCAGGTTTGCCAATATAGGCAAAAGCAGATAGGCAGTGTGCAATGACATCTTTTGCTCTGTCTCCCAAATGCAAGGATGTGAAAATTACTCCTGAGAAGGTGTCTACTGATACATGGACAAACTTAAGTTTCCCTGCATCAGGCAGGTGTGTAACATACATCTGCCATAATTAATTTGGTCATAACCCTCATTGCTTAACTCCTAACTTGGGTCTGCTAAGGAAAGGAGCACACTGAGGACAAGAAGATGTAATAGCTTGTGCTACTTCTTGCATGCATCAAGTATGAGGCCGAAGAGAGAGTGCATTGAAGTGAAATTTATCGTGTATTTCTTGGGCATAGTCGGAAGTAAAGCAAATATTTGTATGTTTACCAGCTAAATCATTACCTGCTGACAATGGCCTAGGCAGCCAGATATGACTGTGGATATGTCCATTAAACAAAGACTCAGTCCACTGCCAAATCAAATGTTGAATGCAGCTGAGCCAATGATGAACCTTAGAGGTAGGTGATATATATGCAGATGTCTCCAATGGTTTAAAGATGTGGGCCATATACACACTATCAGTATACAAATTTACAGGTTTGCTAGGGAAGAGCTGGTGTGAGACAGGCTGTTACCGCTGCAGTTTGGGCTGATACATCCCCCACAGGACGTTTCCATACTTTTCCTCCAGAAACTACTACTGCATTATCTTTAGGGGAAGCATCTGTAAAACCAGCACAAGCTAAGGGTATGGGAGATCCTCTAATCACTTGGGGGATATAACAGGATGATTTTTGAATAGGACCATTAATGGATGCTCAGGATAATGAGAATCAAAACTTCCAGAAAAGGAGGTGAGAAAAAGGGTCCACTCATCGTGGTACTGCTTTAAATGTGCTAGCTGGTCTTTAGTAAAAGGTGTTATGATCTTGTCAGGTTACTTCCCAAACATCTGGGCAGCAACCTTCTTAGCTTTCCAAAGTAATTGTAATATAGCTTCATAGTATGGGGTTACTACCTTCACTGAAGTAGCAGGAATGTGTACCCATACAATAGGTCCATCTTGACAAAAGACTCCTGTAGGGGCAAAATTGGAAGCAAGAACTACAAAAGTTAATGATTTATTGTTGGAAGAAAGGAGGAGGAGTTAGAGGAAGCTGCATAGCCATGCCAGAGACACATGCTGGAACTTTTCCCAGTAAGTCACAGATCCGTGGCAATACACAGATTAATGTAGATGGGCTAGTTTAAGATATAAGAGTTAGTCATAAATATGCTTAAGCTATTGGCCAAACTGTATGGCAAGTAATATAGTTTGTGTGGTTATTTCAGTAGTCTGTGTGGCATGGAAATGAACAAGTGAACAAGCAGTCTCTACATAACACTGAATCCTCATGCTCCACTTTGCTGATATTGAGTGTAAAATCTGTGCCTGACACATTGCCACTGAAAATGTCTGGGACTTCAGAAAATCAGTTGGAAACCCTGTAGATGAGGAGCTGTGGAGACTGACCTGACTTTTGCAGGATCCAATACAAATAGGTGTTTCCATTCCTCTGTAAAAGGCTCTGACTAGACCTTCAGGAGATGGAGTCTTGATCTCCATATCTGACAGTCAGTGATGGTGGACTTTGGGTCATCACAACATCACTGCTGGAAGCTAAAATAAAGACAGAGAAGTACATAGCTAAGGACACACACCACAAACAATGTTTGAAGATTATCTATAATATTTATTTCAAATGAGATATTTGTTTCTACACACAATTATTTATACACTAAAATTCTTTTATTGGCAAAACTAGTGAATTGAAAACTCTATGGACCTGCAAGGCATTTTATTGGAGAACAGTGAGCCTCTAGTCTGAAACTTTCCTCTAATAGATGTAAGCCTCACAGGCCCCTTCCTGGAGGATAAAATCATTCTGTCTTCTCATAAATGTACAAAATACATTTAATCAACAATGGAAGCTGGGGCATCTTCTCCACTCCCATTCTCCTTTTTAACTTCCCTCTCTCCTCATCAATAATCCAGAAGAACAGTAACACCAAGAGCCAAATAGGCAACTTCATTTTGTGAAGACAACCTGAGGAGACTGATTGGTCACTAAAAGATAATAACTGAGTTTTTATCACAGAGTAGTAAGGGTGGGTCCTCACTATGGAGCAATGTTCAATGGCCTGGATTAGTGCTACAGTATAGATAGAGGGAAGAAACATGCAGGCTTTTCATGATTGCAAAAGTAATATAACCTATCTTCTGTATCAGGGGTGGCAATTGTAAAACAAAATGTGGTGCTTGATAGGTAAAGAACAAGCTAAAACTGTAAATTTGTATGTCATTTGACACTTAAGGACTTAATACATAAACAATGAAAAAAGGAATATGAAGACATGAATGTAAGCATTGCCCATTAGATGAGTAACTATGTTTTTGCTCCTCTTCCATCAATTTAACAATGCAATAACTACTTTTGTGAGTGATAACATGTAAAAGATAGAAATATCTTTCCTTTGGTTTATTTAATTTTTCTCTGTAGGCACATAAAAATAAATAACAGTGTTTGGAAGTCATATCTTAGTTGTTTACCATAAAAATGCAAATATAATAGATTTTAAAAATAACTATCATAGGAAATATAGTTTGAGACAATTTTGGAATGGACAGAAGGACCCTGGTTTTGTGATTATTAATATTTTACAGTAAATTTCAACTACTTTGTTTTTATATAAATTCAATATGTATAGCATTCATTCAGCAATCATACCTTTTAAAATCATACTTTCTTTAAATTATTTATTATGAGTTTGTATAGATAGATAGATAGATAGATAGATAGATAGATAGACAGACATGTTCATTCCATGGAACACAGGTGCAGGGAACAAGACAACTTGTAGTAGCCAGTCCTCAACATGTTGGTCAATGAAAAATTCAAGTATTATCTTTGATGGCAGGAACAATTATTTGTTAAGATATCCCATGAATTCTCTCAGCGAACTAACTTTAGTACCATATTTTTTAAGGTTGAAAAGTCTCTCTGGTGCTTGATAGATGGCTCAGCAGTTAAGAATGTTTGATGGTCTTCCAGAGGACCTAAGTTTAGTAACTATGACCTATGCTGATCTGCTCACTATTGCCATATCCAGAGGGCCCTACACACTCCTCTGTTCTACACAGGAACCCATATGCATGTGTGCTTACATGGAGAAATATACACTAACAAATACAAACAATTCTTTTTTTTTTACTGCTGCTTTTTATTTTTATTTTTTTTTCAATTTATTTATTTATTAAAGATTTCTGTCTCTTCCCCGCCACCGCCTCCCATTTCCCTCTCCCTCCCCCAATTGAGTCCCCCCCCCCTCAGCCCGAAAAGCAACCAGGGTTCCCTTTCCTGTGGGAAGTCCAAGGAACTCCCACCTCCATCCAGGTCTAGTAAGTTGAGCATCCAAACTGCCTAGGCTCCCACAAAGCCAGTGCGTGCAGTAAGATCAGAAACACATTGCCATTGTTCTTGAGTTCTCAGTAGTCCTCATTGCCCGCTATGTTCAGCAAGTCCGGTTTTATCCCAGGCTTTTTCAGACCCAGTCCAGCTGGCCTTGGTGAGCTCCCAATAGAACATCCCCATTGTCTCAGTGTGTGGGTGCACCCCTCGCGGTCCTGAGTTCCTTGCTCGTGCTCTCTCTCCTTCTTTAAAAGAAAAATCTCTCACACAGATAGAATTCTGATTGCTATATGCAAAACCAAGAGTAAAGGAAAGGTTTTATGCCTTAGAAATGAAATGTATAATATAGGATAGCTTGTTATTGCAGTCTAATAAAAACCTTTGTCTTGGTTGTTTTTGTCAGCTTAAAACAAGTTAGAAGCATCTGGTAAAAGGAAACTTCAGCTGAGAAAATCCTTCTATATAATTGAACTGTAGACAAATTTGTGGTAGGGAGAGATAACTTGGGTAGCCTATCAAGACTGTGGTCAGGGATGAATGCTTTCCAGACACACTACCATGTCCAGGAAGTCAGTCTGCACATGTGCTAGTGTGAATAAGATGATTTTCTGGATCTCCAAAACTGAATTTCACTTGTTAAAGGATGGAAACCCACTAATACTATGTTTGCACTACAATAGACATTGAACCTGATTCCAGGTACATAAAGAATCCAATGGAGAGTAGGTACAGACAACAGTCAGA